TGACCCGATATCTGGAACTATAATAACATAAAACAGGTACTCGCTTACTCTATGACTTGTATTGATTTTGAAAATGTTGACCAAATTTGAAGTAACCCTTTTTTTGTTCTTTCTACAAAACAGGTACTAATTTATCAATAACTACTGAATAGAAGAATAAGTGGTACTATTTCATCAATAACTGGTACCAATTGATCAAAAGACATTCTCCGACAAAATACCAAATACAACTGACAAAATACAAAAATACACCTGGGCAACAACAAAATACACTTGGGCAAAAAAAAAAAAATTACACATGCCCAAAAAACAAAAAAAATACACATGCCCAAAAAACAAAATACATGAGTGATCTAGATAGGTTCTTTGCACGTACGTCGATTGTGTCCACGATGACTACAACGCTTGCACCGCCTAACCGCAACATCAACTTGTGAAGGAATTCTTTTTTCTCTCCTGCGTCCGGCCTGAGGTCGTACATCCGGAGCATGAATGACATCATCATGATATATGGAGGAAGAGGCCACATTATGATCGTAGTTGGGTATAGGATTAATAGTACCTTGATAAGCTTGCCTATACATCCCAACCCGATAATATGGATCACAAAAATCATAGATGGACATTGACTTACTCTCAACACAAGCACATGCACTTGATTGCATGATTTTGAGACTCCGGAAAGCATTGTAGCGAGATGAAATTATTTTTTCGAGCTTCGGACACAACGGGCCATTAAATCGTGACCCTCCTGCACGTCGATCGTGCATCATGGTCATAATTTGCTTCCGTATGTGATCGACCATGGCTACGATAGGCATAAATCGTGCCGCCCTCACCCAATTATTCCAACATTCGGCTAGATTATTATTCATGATCCCTCAACGGTCTCCGGTAAATAAAGAATTCGTCCAACAACTTGGGTTAGAATCCTGAAGGAACTTTAGAGCAAGAGGCATATGAGTCAATATATTATTTATATGCATATCAAATTCTTTCCTCGTAGGAGCATACGCAGCTTTCTTAAAAATCGAGGACCAATGTTTCTTATTATTAAGTTGGTAGCTCTTCAAAACCTACAAAAAAAATAATAATAATAATAAACAAAATGAAAACGAATGATGGTTTATACACTTACTCATGGTCAACAACAAAAAAAAGGTACCAAACAATAAACCACACTCATACATTGAAAGACCAAACAACCAAAACATCAATATTAACAATAATATACCACAAGAATCAACAACATTTAAAAATAAAAAAGGTAGAAATCAAAAGAATATCAAAACCTGCTTTATTATTAATAATTTGTGATAAATTAAATATAAATATAAACAGACTAATTAAGTTTTTTACCTGATTCTTAAAGTTGTCGACTAAGTGTCACAAACAATAAACATGATGGCTGCCAAGAAAGACCATAGGGATGGCTTTAAGAAGCCCGCTGTGTCGGTCCGTAAAAAACGTGAAGCTTCTATGAACAGGTAAGCCCGAGGTAAGCAGAGTATTATTCAGCTTCACGCAAAACCACTCCCAATTTTCATCGGTCTCGGCATCAACCACAACATATGCTAAAGTGAACAAATCATTACTGGCATCCTTACTTACAACACTAAGCAAAATGCCTTTGAATCTATTTTTTATGTGAGTGCCATCCAAAAATATCAACGGTCGACAACCGGTTATAAATCCAACAAGACAAGCATGAAAGAAAATGAACAATCGGCGGAACTTATTCTGGACAGGGTCAAGCTCACAATCCGCAATGCTTCCTGGGTTTGTCTCACGCACTTTAGTACAATACCATCTCAATTTATCATAAGAGCCCTTGTCTGCTCCATGAATATCTTGCATGGCACTATCCTTTGCATTCGAGATCCAGTGAGAGTCTGCTTTTGGATGCCCCCTTGTCTGAAGATTGGACACTCCACATGTAGGGACTAAATTGCTCTTCTGGATGGCAAAGACCTGATCACCTTTGTATTTTGAGGCATATATTCTCCATTGACAAACCTCATCAGTACAACAAACAATGATCTTCTATTGATCCCTCATTAGTACAACAAACAATGATCTTCTGTTGATCATTTTTACGGTACTTGAAAGAACGCCTATTCGCAATTGCGTAGTTTTTAACAACCTTCCAAAATTCATCCACGCCGCCACTGAACATCCGCCCCTCTCCTTTGATGGAGAATCTCTAAGAATCGATCGATTTATCTTGCACTACCAACTCCGATTCTCCTTCCCGTAACATTTCCATGTGTTCATGATAAAATAATACACATTTTTATAAATAATGGAACTAGTTAAGAAATTAATGAATTTGGATATGATGATACAAATACATCATATATCAATAATAAATTCATTAATATTATGAAAGCAACATTACTCGCTCATGTTCATCGGCATAGATTGAACTCCATCATCCCGTCTTTCATTTCTTCCAATGCCCGGGCTTTCATTTCTTTCAATGGCAACTAGCTCCACAATATTTACTTTCCAACAAAGATGTAACCGAATCATCTTTTTTACATCCTCATCATCGGATAAACTAATTCTCTTTTTCTCTTTTGGCGCAATATAGTTTAACATGACAGTTTCCAAACTAACAATCGACCACCTCTTACCAATGAGAGTGTACACTTCGTCAAGAGTTGATTCAAGGTTCAGAGAGAACACATACATTTCATCTTTGTATGTACAACTCCCTAATATATCACTTTGTGCCCTTTCCATGTATCTAACAATAATTTGATTAAAAAAAAACAAGTTCACATTTCCCAGCACAGATGGTACCAACAGTGAGCAAAGTGGTACTATATATCCAAACAGAGGTACAACACATGAATAGTGGTACTATGATTATTCTCATCTTATTTTTTTGTTTTATGCTCAATAACACCTAACATAACCTAACAATAGCATAAATTTATTATACATGAACAAAAAAAAAAAAGGATTATGATCACTTTATTTGTTTTAGGGTAAATATAAACAACAATATTCAAAATTCAATCCTTCACAAATCAAATAAAAATATATGAATTATAGATGATTTTTGGACTCCAAACTTCTCATATAATACATACATTACTTACTATTCCAAGTTTTCTCCGGAAAAAGTCATAATCTTGCCGGAAAAATAAGAATTTTCGGACAGAGAGAGAGGAATTTTTTTGCCCCTTCCATGTATCTAACAATAATTGGATTGAAAAAAAAAAAATGTTCACATTTCCCAGCACAGATGGTACCAACAGTGAGCAAAAGTGGTACTATATATCCAAACAGGGGTACAACACAATCATGAATAGTGGTACTATGATTATTCTCATCTTATTTTTTTTGTTTTATGTTCAATAACACCTAACATAACCTAACAATAGCATAAATTTAGTATACATGAACAAAAAAAAAGGATTATGATCACTTTATTTGTTTTAGGGTAAATATAAACAACAATATTCAAAATTTAATCCTTCACAAATCAAACAATAATATATGAATTAAAGATGATTTTTGGACTCCAAACTTCTCAATAATACATACATTACTTATTACCTCAAGTTTTCGCCGGAAAAAGCCACAATGTTGCCCGAAAAAAAGGAATTTTCGGACAGAGAAGTAGCAATTTTTGGCCGGAGAAACAAGGATTTTCAGTCGGAAAAAGCCCTATGGTCGCCGGATTTGTTGCCTCCCATAAAAGCCCCAGGGTCCGCTTTGTAATCGCCGATGAAGCTGCAAAAATAAAAATAAAAATAAAGAGCAGCGATGAAGAAGAAAAGCGCGGGAGAAGAATAGGGAAGAAAGAAGAGTGGGGAAGAAGTCTTAGGTAAATAAAAAGAATAAAATAATAGAAGATAGTGGGATGATGTCATACAACAATTTCCTTGTGATTTAATTTAATAGGAGAGATTTAAATAGAAGATGATTAGGGGGATAGGGAGTAAAATAGATAAAAATTTGGGAAAAAATCTTTTTCACCCCAATACAAAGATACATTAAGTTTTTCACACCGGAAAGTGCGAAGGTTATGCGAATGGACTGCATAACTATCGCATATCAATTGCATAATTGTCGCATATTCATCGCGCAATGACTTCGCACTTTAACTTTTTCCACCCCAGAAAGTGCGAAGTGATATGCGAATGTCTTCGCACTTCTAACTTTCGCACAATGTCATCGCGCAACTATCGCATATTCATCGCACAATGCCTTTGTACTTTAACTTTTTCCACCCCATAAAGTGCGAAGGGATATGCGAATGCCTTCGCACTTCCAACTTTAGCACAATGTCATTTCGCAACTATCGCATATTCATCGCACAATGTCTTTCGCACTTTCTGGAGTGAAAAACTTAACTTTTAATTAGACGGTGTGAAAAACTTAGTAGGACTTCAAAATAGGGTGAAAATAACTATATTCACTAAAAATTTCTATTAGGGACTGACTTGAAAGATTGAATTAGGATTGAGGTTTAAAAAACTCCGTATAAACTAATAGTAAAATCTTGGCAAATATAGCTGTACTTGATACAAGTGAGTGAGCTACACAACCTACAGTGTCTTGATTACGACCGCATAACGAATCACAACATCTGCTCTCAAATATATTTTTTTTTCCTTGAGAAAAATCAAAAGCGGAAAAATATATTTGCACACTTTAGTTGTGTTATGCGTAATTTATCCTTTTCCAGTGAAAAAATCTACTGAAAATGTGAGGTAATTTATTGCGCTAAGATCCTCCTGATCTAATTCAGTGAATCAAGAGCTAGGTTAAGGTGTATTTTACGCTTCTGTACTGTGCGAATTTCGCAATTTAGGTGGAGAACCGGTTAAGATGGGGATTTGTGGACGGATTTTGGGCTAATTTTGGGATTAAAGTTTGAAGCTTGATGGAAAATGAAGGATTTTGAGGTCTACAGCTCGATTTGAAGATATTTTAGGACAATTTCTGTGTAGAGGAAGCATTGATCTCTGTCTCTCTCTCTATAGGTTCGAGTTTTGTTTTTTCTTCGTTTGCTTGTACCAGAGAACTTGAAGAATCTCTTTTGGTGATTGTATTGGGTTTCTATTGACGCTTTTGAATTTTTGAAAAACTCGACGGGTTCCATCATTGGACACGAAATCCTTTCTTCATCCTTCAATTTGTGTTCGTGTCTGCTGATTGCGATGTTAAATACTCTTGTTTCATTTAAGATTGATTATAATCCATGTAATTTGTACCGTTAAATGTGGATTCATGTGACTCTAAAGCTTGTATAGCTGATAATGTCTTGGAAGCTCACAAGTTACATCTCCAAGTTATCTTATTTCCTTAATCTGGAAATTATTCTTGCTATATCTAACATTACATGGAAGAGTTTTATTCATATCTTCTTGTAGGTAGATTTCCTTAATGGTTCATTTTTCCTTTTTTCATTTTCTGTTATTCTGCCTTCTGCAGTTTCTTATTAGTTCTTGATACACAGTTAGAAATTGAAATTGCCGACCTCTCTGTAATTTGTGTTAAATTTCGCTACTTGTTTGGTGATACTCATTGTCGATGTTGAACGTTGGCATAATTCACGGCATATGTACTTGCATTCGTGCTCAAACGCTTAATTTTTCCAAATGATAGTTTCAAAAAGCATGGCAACTCCAGTGGAACCTCCGAACGGTATCGGTTCCCAAGGAAAGCATTACTATTCCATGTGGCAGACTCTTTTCGAGATCGACACTAAATACATGCCAATAAAGCCCATCGGCCGTGGGGCCTACGGCATAGTGTGCTCGTCGGTCAACAGGGAGACCAATGAGAAGGTCGCAATCAAGAAAATACACAATGCCTTTGAAAATAGAATTGATGCTCTGAGAACTCTACGCGAGTTGAAGCTTCTGAGGCACCTTAGGCACGAGAACGTGATAGCTCTCAAAGACGTGATGCTGCCGAATCACAAAGGGAGTTTCAAGGACGTGTACTTGGTTTACGAGTTAATGGATACTGACTTGCACCAGATCATTAAGTCTTCTCAGTCACTCACGAATGATCATTGCCAGTATTTCCTGTTCCAGGTAACACTTTTTGTTAGGGAAATTTTCGACAGTCTGGTGCTCTTGTTTATTTATTTGTGATGTGGGATACTGTGCAGCAAATGAAGACAAATTATGAGGAGCATTGATGGAACTTTTTGGCGACTGCTACCTATTGAAATTTTGTAATTTGCATATAATTTTTAAATAAAAAGCAATTTATGAAAATGGATAGACTGTTGAAAGGATGTTTATCCACTGCAAAGTTTAAAAAGTAAGAAATATGTATATGACAAGTGGGGGCTCTTAGAGTTGAAATATTAAACTGTCGAAGGAACTTGCGCACTTTTAATTGTTTTTTTTAGTCTTTATTACTTGCTGGCCAATGGAAGTTCCTATTTATAATTTGCATTTCACATGCTTTGAATATTTTTTCGCTTGACATTTGCATTGTTTTTCATCATTATTTTGAAGCACTTATTCAAATCCACATAGTTTCCATGTACTCTCTTGAATAACCATTTTAGTTTATGCATGTCTTGATGAATCTTATTTTGCTTGAGTTCAAGGCACACCTTTTTCCCATATCTTCTTCACATACCTAAGTAGGAGGCAACATTTTTTTGATACTCTCTTTCAAGCAAATATTCCGAACACATCATCCATTATTTCAATCATACCCGGAACTCAATCACTATTTACGCGCGTATTCCTATTTTTTATTCTTTGTTCTCTTTTGGCCTATTTTACATATTCTAGAATCTCTTACTTGATAGTTACTGAGAGGCCTCAAGTACCTCCACTCGGCAAACATCCTCCACCGAGACCTCAAACCCGGCAATCTCCTCATCAACGCTAACTGTGACCTCAAAATATGCGATTTCGGGCTGGCCCGAACCAACAGTGGCAAAGGCCAATTCATGACAGAATATGTCGTCACTCGATGGTATCGGGCCCCTGAACTCCTCTTATGCTGCGACAACTACGGCACCTCCATAGACGTCTGGTCAGTGGGCTGCATCTTTGCCGAGCTCTTGGGCCGCAAGCCCATTTTCCCTGGCACAGAATGCCTCAACCAGCTCAAATTAATAATCAACATCCTCGGAAGCCAACGAGAGGATGATTTGCTGTTTATCGATAACCCAAAGGCCAGAAAATACATAAAGACTCTGCCTTATTCGCTTGGAGCCCCATTTGCTCGACTTTACCCTCACGCGCATCCTCTGGCGATTGATTTGTTGCAGAAAATGCTCGTTTTTGATCCTTCGAAGAGAATTAGCGTGACTGAGGCATTACAGCATCCGTACATGTCGCCTTTGTATGATCCGAGGTGTGATCCGCCGGCCCAAGTGCCGATTAATCTTGATATTGATGAGGATTTGGGTGAGGAGATGATTCGGGAGATGATGTGGCAGGAGATTATGCATTACCATCCGGAAGTTGGGGCCGGGAATATGGAGTTCGCCGTGTAGGCTTTAAGGCTCGGGACCTGGTTAAATGGTTTTTT